TAGAAGCTCACCGGCTTCGAAGCGATAAAGTCATCAATGCATTTTCATATCTCTTCAAGTGTCACAAAATGTGTATCAGCCAAGAAATGCTGCAGAGACCGGAATAGGTAGTAATCGGAAGGCGCCATATCTGGGCTATACGCCGCGTACGGGAGAAGTTCCCAGCCTAACGCAAAGATATGGTCCTGAGTCACTTTCGCAACATGTGGTTGGGCATTGTCATGAAGCAGTATCACTTTACGACGTTCTGTGCCAGTAAATGGCCTCTTTTCTTCAAACGCATCGCTCAAATTGCTCAATTGTTGCTGATAGCGATTTGCCGTTACTGTTTCACCCGGCTGTAACAACTCGTAATACAATACACCTTTCCAATCCCACCATATGCAAAGCAAAACCTTCTTGGCATGGATATTGGTCTTTGGCGTCGATGTCGAAGGTTGACCAGGGTCAACCCATGATTTTTTACGCTTCGGATTATCATAAAGTATCCACTTTTCATCACCTGTAATGATTTGGTGCAGAAAATCCTTTCTCCGGAACCTTGAAAGCAAAGTGAGTGCCATATCACGCCGTCGATTTTTGTTGTCTTCGGACAGTGCATGCGGAACCCATCTGCCTTCCTTTAGAACTTTTCCCATTACATGTAAACGTGTGGAAATAGCTTGTCGCGTAACGTCAAGTTGCTCTGCAAGCTCCTTTTCAGTTTGTGCAGAGTTTATATCCAACAATGCTTGCAGTTCGTCCGTTTCAATATTTTGAGGGCGTCCTGCACGCGGTTCATCTTCAAGACTGAAATCTCCTTGGCGAAATTTTTGATACCACCTTTTACACGTAGCATAACTTACAACGTTCTCTCCATATGCAACACAGATCATTTCAGTGGCTTCAGCAGCATTTTTCTTCAGATGAAACGCGAAGTGGATGGAAAATCGAATATGCTCTTTTGTTATTGCCATCGTGAACACTGCTGATTTTAAGGTTATGTGCATCAAACGCCAAATCGCACGATGTTTCGAAAGACCAAATGTCACTGCTTTAAAACCGCAAGAGGGCGGGAAAATTAATGCAATTTAAATTGTGGTTTCAGTAGTGTGAAATCTAGGGCTCAGAACTTTTTTGCGCTCCTAATATATATAGAAATGTAGGAAACAGTACATATAAACGGCAGAGGGGCTTCGCCCCTTCCCCGCACCCCATCTCCAAATAAGTCCTAACCTAATTTAACTTATTGCATCTTTATATGAAAAGATTTCTTTAAAACCTATAACACCTAATTGTATGCAGATATAGTAAGTTAAATTGGGTTAGGTGACAGATGTTAAGAGAACTTCTTCAACAATGTCCAAAAATATATAAAGATGCAACAAGTTAGGTTATGTTAGGATTTATTTGGGGAGGGAGTGCGGGGGAGACCCGGTACCATCACTGCCTTGTGCTGGAAGATACGGCGCAACACACACTGGTTGCATGCCCGGCATGGAGCCCGGAACGCCGTGTCCTGGCCAGGGCGGTGGGGTACCGTGATGGGGGACTCTCGCTCCATGGTGAACGCCATGTGCGGGAGCGAGGAGGCATGGTCAGTGGCGGCCTCCCTGCAAGAACGTGATGTCCAAGAAGGAGGCTGCCGAGTGGGAGCGTCAACCCGGGAGGCGCCGCGGTAGGCGGCGCGGGGGTCGGCGCTCCCCGGGGAGAGGGGGGATCGACAGTGGGCCCGAGGTAGAGTCGACCGAGGAGGAGCGGCCACCGGTCAACCGGAGGCCACCCCCTTAGCCGCCTCGAGCTCGACTCCGGACACGCCGGGGAGGAGGTGGTGGTGGGTGAGTGAGCCCGCCCACCCTCCCCGTGCGTCGGTAGGGTCAGGGAAAAAGGGGAATAGATGTCCAGTTGGGGATGACTCCCCTATACCCCCCTCCTAGAGGGGGAGTAATGGGGGATACGGGGGGAGGGTGGATGTCCCCTCCTCCAAGATAAAACCAGAAGGCCAACTCGACCGGGGATTCGGTCGGGGGACCGCACCCCGGACTCTCTTGGTGGGACGGGGTGCAGTACTCGAGGCGAGGGGCTCCCGGAGAACCCTGTGGCCGGGGTGTTGGGGAGGGAATGCGGGAGCAGTTCCCCTAATTCCCCTCACAACGGTCCGAATGGTAGACATCCTGCAGGGGTTTTAGTCGGTAAGAGTTCGACATAACTCTCAGCCCTCCCAAGGGTCGGGGGTATCTATGAAGGATTTCCCTTGCGTTACCAAAAAAAAGGGGGTGTGGGGGAGGGGCGAAGCCCCTCTCCCGCTTATATGTACTGTTTAACATTGTTTAATGTATAATTGTGTCTATGTACATAGTGTCGGAAAATTACATTCTATTTATGAAATTTCTTTTGTTAATTATTTTTTAATAAGCAATAAGCGACGGCTAAAACCTTTTGATTGATACTCAGGAAGGTGTTTTTGATAAAATATGTCAAGGTCAAGGTCATTGGCGGGGGGTAAGTAAGGGTAAATCTTTACCTCGAGACCCTATCAGTTTTTGTCTTATGCACTAGAAAATGTGATGATATTTTCCGTTATGAAACCGCGACTTCATGTAAGCCTTGATAAGTAAAGATTTCTTGATAGCCACTTTTTGCCGAGCGACGCTGCACCTCGGCAACAGCGCGAACGTCTGGTGGCTCAGCTATGCGCGTTCGCAGGCAGCCCCTGTGGCCGCCTTTGACTATTCATATCTCCGAAACCATTCCTATACCCCACTTCAAATTTTTCTCAGATTAATATATCTTCATAAGCTATCATTTAGACCACAATTCGATTCAATCCGTGAGGTTCACTAAACGGGCGAAAAAACAAATGCTTTTGCGGTTACTCTTTATCGTCAGTTTTTGGTCTCTCTCTCCCCCTCCTTCCTTCCTCTTTCCATCCTCACTCACCCTCTCACTCTTTCTTTCTCTCCCCCTCTCTCTCTCGCACATTTTCTCCTATTGTATTCTAGCATTTTGTTCTCTCTCTCACTCTTTCTCGCTTGCTTGTTCGTATTCGCTGCTGCCTGCTTCTTCAGCGCTCTCGTAACGCTCCTGATATCGGAACAGCGAAAAGGATATATATCCCCACTCCTGTGCGTCTTGCATTTCTTACTGAATCGAAATTTTCCGTGATTCGGAATTTATCTTAAAATATTTCCATTTAGACACAGCGTATACAGAAAACGTAAGAATACTTTTCTTCCTATTTTTTAAGGTCGAATCGATTGGGATTGAAAAAACCTCGATCGGTTCAGTCATTGATGCTGAGATATAAATATCTCACTTCGTTTCAACTCGCAGTTTCGCGTAATATAAGCACGGTGTGCCTCGCGCCATTCGGACGCAACTTCGTTGCGCTTAAACTTTGTGCGCGGCACTACCGTGCCTCTTGATTTTGGCTGTGTTCCGATATTCACTGCCAGTACTGAAAATATATAGTTTGTGTCATATATATTATAGATTTTTAATGCTGGCAGTAAATATCGGAACACAGCCAGTGTTTGTAATATAGCAGTAGTAGTTTTTAATATAGTATATCATATTGTTATATTGTTACTATTCGATACATTCGAATATTATCTTGACATACCTATTTTGAGAGTATTTTACATTAGATTGTATTTGTAAAGAAATGTATTAAACAAGTTTTAGTTCAATATAGTTTTTGGTGCAGCCGCGCCAAGATTTTGCATTAAATATTTTTTATTGTATTGTATAACTAATTTGTTGTTAGAGGTATAAGTTGTACAAACTTATTACTTGTATAAGGGAAATAATAAATTACATTGCCTAAAAGTACATGCTCAGGTGCGGTACGATGCACAGTACTAAAAGCTCAAACTTTGTCGCTTATCTTGAATAAAGAATTAAATATACTATAATCATATATATATATGTTCATATATATATATATCTCACGTTTCTCAGTTGGTGCTACTGTTTTAATATATTATTTATTTTGTGTAGTAAAACAGTTTTATTATAGTTATAAGTTTTAGTTGTAAAAACTTATGTTACGTACATATATATCTTGAAAAAAAAAAATTTAAGTTTGAGATTTCCAAAAATACATATATATACCCACACATACACAACATACGTGTATGTATGTAAAATTGTTTATATTTCTGTAACTATCACTATGTACATAATTAATATATTGTTACAAATTATATTTTTTGTTTACTATTTATAATTAAACTTAATTAAATTTATTCTAATATGCTACACAAATATGAGACAAACAGCTACTTTATTCAGGAAATAGTATCATATACAAGCATTGTTTTACATAATATTTATTATTATATATATATTTCAAGTTATTTTCTATTCTCATGATGTGCCATCTAATTCAATTCTTCGACATAATTGTTAGCGCATATTTAATTTGTTACATAATATTAATATATAATAATAATCAGCACGTCCTTTTCATATTTTTTTTGTTTTTGAAAATTTGTTAAACGTATATTGTATTTCACAAGTTTTCATAACCGACCAATGAAAAACGATTATTTAATATCAAATAATTACTTACTATTATTATAATAAACATATGATCTCTATTTCTCCCAAAAAATGGTCGATACATACAATGATCAGTGTTGTATGGTGAAACATAAAAATCCTAAAGGAAAAGAAATGAAACCAATGGTTGCCATTTTTTCTTTGTACTTATTTAAACGCGAGAGTTAGTTTCAAGTATAGATAAAAATACTTGTATAAGATGGAATATACATGCCATGATATTATATATTTGAAATAGTTTGTACACGTACCTTCAATATCTTTACAGACACATAACCCAACATTAAATTGACACGAGTATTAAAATGTACTCAGTGATGTAGCTTTTTAACAATTATTTATGTATATAAATCACTAGGCGCTATTGGAGCATGCACTGTGCATACATACCTTTTACATGTAATTATAGTTACAAGTATCATCTTTTGATTGACAAGTTAATTTAAATACAAAAGACATCAGAAGAAAAATGTTTATTTCTGATTAAAAATGCGCTAAACATAAGAGGACTGTAATAAGATTATGTCTATGGCATAAATCCTTTCCTGCGGATAACACCGTAACCTTGTTAGAATTAAAAAAGAATGTAATTTTATGTGTCTCTGAAGAACTATCACTAGATTTGAGGAAACTATAAGGGATTTTAGATTAGTTTCCTTTTAAATTTTGTCAAAAATGTTTCTTTCCCTATACATAATTTTTTTAGCAGGGAAATTAAAACTATCGATGATGTATTATTATTTTTACTTGTCCATCATTTTCAATTTTTCTTCTCGAGGTTTCGCACCTCCGTAAATAGAACTATTTTTAGTTGATTCTGCAAGTGCATTGACGGGGTCCTTAATAGTTCGTGGTTTAAGCTCCAAACGTTTTCTCCCAGTAGTGTCTAAAAACGAAAGTTGTATTTAATTCGTGTATAAATAAAATATAGTAGAATATAATGAAAATTCTTCATTTCTTCTTCTATATAAAATATGTTACAAGATTTCTACTATTCTTTGATAATAAGTTTCTTGACAACTCTTTTTCTTTGCTGAATTGTTTAAATATGACATTATTTGTCGCATCTTCTAATTTCTGATATTATATCTTTGTACTTATAATTAAGAGTTCTAAGTTAAAGTTTATTAAAATAAACTATACATGGAATTAATTGAAGAAGGTAGTTTTATTATTTTTTGGTAGCTTTGCTAACCTAGAGTTAAATTTATATAAAGTAAAATTTTTCAGTTTGTTATAATATAAAAATTATAGATATTTCTTTTATTACCATGAAAAGTAACTATTTTAAAGTTGTTAAACAAATATGTTATTAAAGGATTATGGAACTCTTTTAAACAGTCTGTATATATTTAAACATGTGTACATGATATACATTAATTCATATATATTATTTATATAGTGGTATGAGATACTGTCTTCATGAAAAAAACACTTAAGTTGGGAAATCTTGAATTACTTTCTTCACAAGATTTAGCAAAGTAATAATTATTAAGTATAGTTAATCAATACTGGCACTTGAGTAAGTATAGAAATTGTTAATATTATCACGTATTATTTTGTATTGTATACATTAAAAGGTTAAATTAATTCTGGTCTTATTTTGTCAATTTTTTTATCTTTATTTTAAAGAAATAGGAAAATTTACATCAATCAAAATATTTTCTGTCGTTAACTGTGCTTTTTGCCATCTTTCTACAACATAACGATTCCGCGACGATAGAACGATCTATCTTTCGAAGCAATCCAATCAGACACCCATTTCTGCACATCCTCGTAATTATTGAAATGTGTATCTGTCAAAGCGTGTTGCATAGATCGGAATAGATGGTAATCAGATGGTACTAGGTCTGCAGAGTACGTTGGGTGCGGAAGGATTTCCCATTCGAGCTCTAACAATGTTTGTTTAACAGTTGAAACAACATGTGGACGAGTATTATCATGCAAAATAATCACTTTGTATCTATTGCTAGTTATTGCAGCTATCGTTGGCCTTTTTTGCATCAATTTATCATTCAATTTGTTCAATTGTTGCTGGTATTACTTCCTCGTAACTATTTCATTTAGTTTTAGAAGCTCATAATACACCACACCTTCCATATCCCACCAAATACAGAACATTGCTTTATGACCGTGAATGTTTCGTTTTGGTGTCGATGTTGATGGTTGTCCTAAATCAATCCATGATTTTTTTCGTTTTGGATTATCAAAATAAATCCACTTTTCATTTCCAGTTACAATTCGCCACAAAAAACTTTTCTTTTGTCTGGCAAACAAAGACATGACGATATTCAAACGATTTACAATGGCACTTTCACTCAATTCATGTGGAACCCATTTGTCTTCTTTTTGAATTTTTCCTATAGCGTGAAGGAGTTTGGAAATTGTTAATTTATCGATGTTGAGTTGTTCAGTCAATTGTTTCTCCGTTTGAGCTGTGTTTTCATTCAATAATGCTTGCAATTCAGAATCTTCGAATTTTTTTAGTTAACCAGTACGTTCTTTGTCACTCAAATCGAAATTATCACTTTTGAATCGTTGAAACTAAAATTTACAGTTAAAATATGATGGAGCTTGATCACCATAAGTTGTAACAAACATTTCATAAGCTTCAATTGTCGATTTTTCAAATCAAATAAAAAAGTAAAGAATGTCGAAAATATAATTCTGTACGATCCATTTTAGACGTGTATAAACAATGAAACTATCAGTAACAATGTAAACTGTCATATATCATAGAGAAACATCAAATCTTTCAGTATTGCCAGAATATTCGTATTAATTATTAACTTATTACTAAAGCTATTTATTGCTAATGACCAGAACTGATTCAACCTTCTAATAATTTTAAATCTTAATGGAGTGGTTGCATGGCTTACTCACATACATCAAGCAGGTCATAGATATATTCATCTATCCAATTAATGACAGTGCTGTTTAAGTAACGTTTAATAATTAGAACTTTATGAACTATACTTTATTGCTACTACTTTATTGCTACGTGACTTCGACTTTTTTTTATTTAAATTTTAATAAAACAATATCATAAATAAGATAGTGTTATATATAAGAAAGTATATATACATAGGGTGAGTTTGATAAAAAGTTTACTACAATGTATTGTGAACAAAAGTTCGCTATGTTTTTCTCACAAACGGTTAGAAACAAGAGAAGGCATCTATTATATCAAAATTGTAGAAAAAGATTTATATATATTTTAGGGTGTATATATATTTTGGTGACTTTAATTGCCCTTGAATATCGGTTTTTCATGCCAAAGAACAAAATTAATTTTTCTTTTATGAAAAGGGATATTTCAATCATTATATAGATACTACTCAATAAGCTTAATAATTTTTGTATCAGAGTATCTTTAAAAAATTTATGTATTGTCGGGATATCGACAAAATTATAAGTAAAAAAATTTAATACTTATCTTTTTATTATCATAAAAGTATCATAAAATATTGACCATGTTGATCCAGATATGCCTGTAACTTTCACAGGAAGTTTGTTTGTACTTCTAACTCTTATATAATTATTTCGCAAGAAATATTTTTCTACTATATTTCTAGAAAACAGTAGACAGAATAAAAAATACTTTTTATACATACAATATGAAATACAAGCAAGTTTTCCGTGAAGATTATAGGCATGTCTAGATCAACACAGTGAACATTTTGAACACTTATATTATAATAATAAAAAGATAAATTCAAAATTTTTAAATTTATAATTTTGTTGATATCTCCATAACGGTTAAATTTTCGGAAAATATTCCAATACAAAAATTATTAAACTCAATAAGTAGTATCTATACAATATCTCTTTTTATTAAAAAATTATCTTTCTTCTTTGGTATGAAAAACCAATCAAGGTCAATTAAGGTCACTAAAATGTGTGTGTGTCATAAGAAAAATCAATAAAGAAATAAAAAAAATACAACTGAAAGAAATAAAAAATTCCACTATGTTTGGTACACGCATTGATGTATCTGCATGCAAACATTAATATTTTTATTCAATTCTCCTAATCATTTTACATGTAAAGCGATCAAATAGTGAAAACATTACAATATATTAAGAAACATATGGTAATGCCTTTGTAAAATAGTAATATCTGTATCAAGTGCATGGTTATGTCAAATGCATATGCAAACATCAACTATATCAACAATTATAGTTCAAATATAGATGTAAACAATTAAACAATTAAAATAACAAATATAGATGTAAACGATGCAAACTATTAAAATAACAAAGTGAATTTTATAATTAGAAAATGTTAAAACTTCATTGGAGTTCACTGCATTTTGCATACATTTTCTTTCTCTCCTCTTTCTTTATAAAAGATATAGTTGACACTAATTGTAATTATTTGGTACAAATAATAAAATTTTGTATTATGGAAAACAGAATATAGTTTTAATATTTGAAAATAATTTACATTTAATATTATGAACAATAAATAATTTGTTTTAAAAAAACTGTTATTTATATTTCTATTTGCTTTCTTTAACAAGAAATTCAACTTTTATATGATTAAAATGTTTTCTTGAAGTTTAATATAAAAAATAACTACAAAATTAAAAAATAACATGTACAATAGCTCAATTTATTTTTGCCTACTATGTAAAAAAGAAACTATATTGTTTTCATTAAAAAAAAAATGTGTTTAACATTGTATTAGAAGTTTTAACTTTTATTACAAAAAATTTGTAAATTAAAAAGCATTAAATTTTCCTTTATAATTTATTTAAAATATTAGAAGTGGATTAAAAATTATGCTAATCAATAGTATAAAAGCATTCTATGTATGATATATATGTCCTATATTGATTGTCTATAAAATGTATCATAGCTTTTCTGGACTAAAAGATATTAGTTTCCTTTTGCAAATATTTATATCACATATGAATATACTTTATAAGTTATATGATTTGTGTTAATTATAAGTTGAATTATAAAAGATAGAATATGTATATTATAAGAATTGGAATTTTGATATTTATATGTTAAGACTTAATTTTGCTTTGCAACATACACTGTTAAAATATTTTATGATATATCATTTGTGTATGTATATATGCACACATAACATGGTTCATATCTACATACCTGGGAGGGGATCTTTATAAAGTTCATCTTGAAAAGGTTTTCGATCCGAACCACTGCCACGAAGAGAAGGTCTGTTACTGTACGATCTACTAGATGCACTTCGTGACCAGTCACGACTTCCACTCCCAGGATCTTCATTAAATTGGCCATAATTGCCTCTATTCCCTCTAGAATCCCATCCACTACCTTGTCTACTGCTCCCATGTGAGCTTCTATCACTATATCCTGTTATATTGAGACAAACATTAATAGTATTAAATAAGTATAAAACTTCAATTTCTTTTCATTTATATATAATTAACCAAAATAACATGTTACTTTAAACATTGCATTAAACATTTCATAAAAATAAACAAATAAATTGATACACTATTATTTACGTTATGCACCGCATAACGCTTACTCGAATACATAGATTTGCTACCGAAATCATCGCCATATCCACTACGGCCAGAATCTCTTCCTTTAAAGCCTCCACCACTGCTGCCACCACGACCCCTCCTATCAAAACCACCACTTCGATCGTTTCTTTTTATTTCAGCTACATCAATTTTAATCAAGCTTTTATCTACTTCTACCGCGCCATCCATTTCCAATGCTGCTTCCAAGTCAGCCAAGTCTTCAAACTCAACATAACAAAAACCTTTGAATCTAGAAAGTACAAAATTAAAATTTAAGATAATATATATCTTTTTTTCTGATTATAGTTAATATATACTATTATACATACTTGTCAGTATCTTTGTCTTTAACCAATCTGATAACTTTAACATTGAGCTTTTCGAAGATTTTATCAACATCACCTTGTACAATTCCATTTGGTAAATTTCCCACATATGCTGTATATGGAGGTCCTGTTGGCAAAGGTTTTCTGCTACGATGTCCACTAGAATAATCTCTGTAATATATAAACAAAAAGTTTTAATTTTACTGGTGAATACTATAGATATGAATAGATATCACCATAGATATATAAATATCACAATTGTGTTTCATAATATCAAAATCTTTGGTTTATATAACAAACATAATAAAATAACAATTTTAAAATTTTTGTAAAAATAGATTCAATTTTATTTTATATTAATTGTAATCAATATATATATATATATATATATACACATACACATACATATATATATATATATATAGTGAAATACAAATAAGTTACTTGATGATTTTATATTTATTTATATTTAAATATATATATATACACACATATACAATCTTATCTCTTCTAAATAAAGTTAATAATTATTCATATTATAGATTTTCATATTGCTGTATATTATCATTGTGCTTAAAAAGTTAAGTAAAATTAATAGAATTAAAAATATATATCTCAATGTAATTTGTTAAAAATAAACTTATAATTATAAACTTATCAATATAATAGCTTAGTAAAAAAATAAAGCTTGTTGGTCAATTATATTCATTATATTATATTTTGCTCCACAAAAACTGATCACAATGCCAATCGTACATTCTGTGATATATCTGGTTACTATTATTCAGGAAATAATTTTTTTCCGAAATGCATCACGCGAACCATGCGAGGTACGGACATGCTCCGCATTATTCTAGTCTTGAAATTTCTTTATTATTCCATACTACCATATAAATTCTCTTCTTTGCCGTTACGATTAAAGTTTGACCAAATAGAATAAAGCTTGAAGTTGAAATCATAATGTCCGAAAGATGTTGTGCTGCACTCGAGTTGCTCATAATTCACTTAACCTTAAAGTCGAAAAAAATTTGTAAAAAACTTTTTTTTCTTCAACAGTAAAACGTACCGCTTATGCATTGTGATCGTACTATTCCTGGAGCTTCTTAATCGTTTGAAACTATCAAAAATACAATTGGTACTTGCCTCGAATCGTCGTAACCACCTCGACCTGCCATATTGGATGCACAGAACTGACCGGGACCGCGTGGGTCGGACGAGTTCCTGTATGCGCAATATAATACTTTTACTATATATTAACAATAAAAGTTTTCGGATTAATAATGTAGCATATTACGTAAATTAACTAAATAACTATTAAATTTAAATATGTATAACAGTATCACTGAATATAATAATGAAAGTTTGATGACGTATGTTGTATGTACACTCAGTTTCAATATAATCTAAATACTCTATTTTCGATGCAGTTCTGAACGCACCAGAATGAGTGCTTTCCATTTGCTTGATTTATGTAGATATGGCTCGATCCACAATAGACGTAGAAAGTCTAAGATCCTTGCACAATGCCAGGCAACAGGCAATAAGAATAGGCAGTAGAAATAAGGAATAAGAAATTATCATCACTAATGTACAATAATGCTATAGCGATAAAAACTATCCAGTCGAAACGTTTAAATTCGGATGCCTTGTAGTATTCATAATTAATTTAATCAAATATAATCCAAAAGTAACATAATAGTTTTAAGTTCTTCTATATTTTGGATTCATGCTGTGAATTAAATATTAATATAAAGTCTTTATTATGTGTGTGAATAAAGTAAATCAGTAATATGTAAAACATTGATATATATATATATATATATATATGGGTATACAGTATATAGTTTTATTAGTATAATATTTTCATTGACATCCTTTATCATTAGCTATGGATGATGAAAAACATGATGTCCCACATAGCATTAGATCTCCAAAGTATATTCTAATTTGATCAAAATGATCCTATTATGATCCAAATGAAAAAGTTATCCATAGGAGTACTTGAGGACATGTGCATTAGCCACAAATTACACAAGATATCCGCAAAACATCCGTAAGATATTCTAGTCAGTGATGTCAGATGCAATATATTGCGATGCTACAGCGCATGCGTGAGATGATGTAAAGCTCGCTGCTTGAGTAAAAGTCCCAGTATCGTATCTTTTTTAAGGTGTTATAGCGCCCGTATTATACTATGTATTGAGAATTGCAATCGAGAGTAAATTAGATAATCTAAATCGTGGTTATTTTAATTGGTCTGATAGTAATTCTCAATCTATAATCTAATATGAGTCTAATACAAATATTATGTAACAGTTACATAGTTGAGTAAAAAATTATAATGTTAATGTAACGTAATTATTACTTACAAATCCACTGGAATTATAATGTTAATGTAACTGATATTTCAGTATCTACTGAACAATATAACCTAAGATAAGGCACTTGCGTAAGAAACACGGGAAAACTACGCTGGAGCCTGGAAGACAGCTGATCGGATAGCGCGGGCCCTTTTATGGACCCTGCGATGCGCTTTATTGCCGTCATTGGCATAGAGCTACGTCATCTCACGCATGCGCTGTAGCGTTGCAATATATTGCATCTGACATCACTGATTCTAGTATGTTAGTTAATTGGTTTGTTCTTTTTAGTTGCGCTGCGGAACTAGTGCAATAAGTTAAGCCAGCGGCACACGATGCTTGTTTTCGTGCTGGATTGCTTGCTGGATGAAAATATTGCGTTCTGATTGGTATATTTCCGAAGATGGATGGAAATGCACCAATCAAAATGCAGTATTTTCATTCAGCAGGCAATCCAGCACGAAAACAAGCACCATGTGCCGCTGGCTTTAGAGTGAGACAACTATATTTTTTTTCACTTTAACTCAGAGCTCGGCAAAATGTGCACGCGACGGCCGATTTTCGACTATCTCCGCCCACCGCTATTCCCTTTACCTCATCGCTCCGCGCGCTGCCTATAAGCCACTCGAGTCTCAGGAGCGTGTTTCCAATAGTTTTCCACATCACCCATGAGATACTATTGTTGACGCGCTTTTTTTAAGTGGTATCCTCAGTAGGCCTCTTCATTTTTAAAAAATTGAGTTTATAAAAAATGAGAAGTGTTCTTCTTTAAGCAACGATTCCTTACCACGTCTTATGCCGCTCGCTACATGCAATATCCGAATTGACGTTTCCACTCTTACGGTAAGACGACAGTTCCCCGAAAAGTGGAGGGGATAACGTTGGTACCAATGAAAATCGCTGCACGATATAATTTTAGTTTCTGTAGATTAGTACCACTGTTGAAGTAGTAAGTCTGTAGTTTACGTAAACCTTTTGACAGATGTGCGCGCGTGTAAATAATATTGTACAACTATTATATATAAAAACGTAAATATAAAATATATTGTAGTATTTCATTAAAATAAAATTAAGTAAAAATGACAAGGAAATGGAAACCTAAAATACGTAATAAGTGAGATAAATAAGTGAGAATATAAGTAATAAAATAATAAGTGAGCATACAAAGTGAACAAGAGAAAAAAATAATAAATATTGTATTTACATAAGTTGTGTGTGTGTGTGTGTGTGTAAGTGGATAAACAATAATTATATATTTTTTATAATTAAATATTTTTAATTTTTGACTGTTTTGACATGTCACAGTAAATATTACTCGTTGTTGGAGCATAGTTCTTCGCACTGGAATCAATTTATCTTCATTGTCATCAACAAATATATGTCAGATAAGTAAAGTAAGTTTATATTTACATAAGAAAAAAAATTAAATATTCATGTGCTGTTTATAATTGTAGATGTTGTTAAATTGATTCTTTCTTTTGATTTAATTTTTGTTCCAGTTTTCCAGCTATGTACGCGTTTGCAGAATGTTAATAGAGAATAATTATTGTGGAATAAGGTTGCCAAATTCCAATCCTTGATGAACATCACTCATGGTTATAGCACCGTTCTTCGCACCTGGATCAATTTGCCATCATTGTCATCTGTGGAATGAAATTCATGCATGATAAGAGAAGTGTAAGCAAGGAAACTAGAGATATAGAAATCAAGGATAAACAATTATATCAGATAAGTAGTTTATATTTACATAAGATAAAAGATAAAATGTTTATGTTCATGCTGTTTATAATTGTACATGTTGTTGAACCGATTCTTTTGAATTTTTTTTTCAATTTTCCAGCAATTCATATGCTAGCTGAAAGTTGATATCCAGAGAATAATTTTCTGTGGAATAAGGTTGCCAAATTTTGAAGGTACTGTATCCTAGTTATAAACAGAAGTTGAAATTACATTCTGATGTCAAATATCCATCACCAGCAAAGCCACGACAGATTGATGAGAGCAGGTTTGTAAAATTGATGTTTACTATTATTTTTCATCGACGCTTTCTATAGATATATTCGATGTTTATTACCATCTTATAGCAATACTTCCATCTTGGACCAATATATATTGTTCAAATCCAACCAAATATAGGAATAGCAGATTTTGAAAGAGCGGAACGAAACGCATTAAAAATTGTTTTTCCTGGTATTAAAGTAATTGGCTGCTTTTTTCATTATAGCCAGATAATAAAAAATAACAACACATATAATAATTAACATGAAATGTACATCACTTTTCTTTATATTTATATTGTTTCTTTATTACAGGCGTTAGTACATAATGCAAAAAAGCATAGAATACTAAAGGACAAAAATAATAATGGAGAAATAGGATATGGTGCAATTAAATTATTAATATCTTTAGCTTTGTTGCCTGAACCTTTAATAGAGGAAGGCTTCAATATAATTTCAACAATCATTTTTGCCAATTGCAAATATATTGAGCCATTTCTTAATTATTATAAAAGAGCATGGCTTAACGGTTTTAAACCCGAGTCGTTCTGTGTATATAAACAATTACATAAAACTAATAATATATTAGAGCGACATAACAGAGAACTCAAAGAAAAACTGAATAAACATTCTACAATCGTTGCATTTTTAGATATTTGTACACAGTGTTACACTTATTTTCAGAATATTTTTAATGTTTTCATAATTAAGTATTATTTACAGCAAACTTGGCAGACCATCGAAAAATATACACAGTATTATTAATCACCCTGCATTTTGGTCAAGATCTGAGAATAATATTTTAAAGGAAAAAGAAGAAAAATTACAAAAAATTTGGAGCAAAATAAATAATAATACAAACATAGATATGTTATTAATTTTATACGAACTGTCAGAATTAATAGGAAGAGAAATAAATTATAAACACGTTCTTAATTTTTGTATTCTTCTTTTAATTTTCCTTCTTGTTGCACAATCTTGCGATTATCTGACTTTTCATGGCTTATACATCTACTTATAATACATGATTTTTATTTTGCTACAGGTATTTCTTTTAAAAATTGATCCTCAATTTTTGGAGAAACTATATATTTTTGTACCAGATCTCAAATCCTAATAACCATATTTGTAGAGGCAAGTATTGGCAACAAATCCTATTTGAAAGATAAAAGCTGAAAGATAAAAAATATAGGATTCAGTACACTCAATAAGATGGTAATAAACATCGAATATATCTATAGAAAGCGTCGATAAAGAATAATAGTAAACATCAATTTTACAAACCTGCTCTCGTCAATCTGTCGTGGCTTTGCTGGTGATGGATATTTGACATCAGAATGTAATTTCAACTTCTGTTTATAACTAGGATACAGTACCTTCAAAATTTGGCAACCTTATTCCACAGAAAATTATTCTCTGGATATCAACTTTCAGCTAGCATATGAATTGCTGGAAAATTGAAAAAAAAATTCAAAAGAATCGGTTCAACAACATGTACAATTATAAACAGCATGAACATAAACATTTTATCTTTTATCTTATGTAAATATAAACTACTTATCTGATATAATTGTTTATCCTTGATTTCTATATCTCTAGTTTTCTTGCTTACACTTCTCTTATCATGCATGAATTTCATTCCACAGATGACAATGATGGCAAATTGATCCAGGTGCGAAGAACGGTGCTATAACCATGAGTGATGTTCATCAAGGATTGGAATTTGGCAACCTTATTCCACAATAATTATTCTCTATTAACATTCTGCAAACGCGTACATAGCTGGAAAACTGGAACAAAAATTAAATCAAAAGAAAGAATCAATTTAACAACATCTACAATTATAAACAGCACATGAATATTTAATTTTTTTTCTTATGTAAATATAAACTTACTTTACTTATCTGACATATATTTGTTGATGACAATGAAGATAAATTGATTCCAGTGCGAAGAACTACGCTCCAACAACGAGTAATATTTACTGTGACATGTCAAAACAGTCAAAAATTAAAAATATTTAATTATAAAAAATATATAATTATTGTTTATCCACTTACACACACACACACACACACACAACTTATGTAAATACAATAT